TTATATGTGAGAGCTTCACCCGCACAGATTGAGACTGATGTTTTCAGTTCTAATTCCAAATCCTAGGGGGGGAAAACTCAACTAGGTCCAGCTTGGATCAGATTAACTGGGACGAAGAGACAGAATACCATTTGGACCCATTGGATGGGGTGCCAATCAACCATTGCCTACAAGCAATATCATTGTACTAATACGTCAGTTTCGGTGGTTAAAAAATGGTCAGAGCAGTTCTCACCAGAAAAGGTGCGGCCTAACTATTCCAGAGATGTCCACTGTTACATGGACATCTGAGAACACATTGCAAGGAAGTAGATGGCTCTAGCTTCCCATTTGCCAGCAAAGACTGCCCATGGTCCTTGAGAGTTTCCAGTTAGTACTATCAATTCACTGTTAGAAAGTTCAGGATGGGGGAGGCAGGAGGTGGGGGAGGGGGGAGAGAAATGGTGGCACATGAAAGAAGTGGAGCAGGGAGAAGGGAAGGAGGGCGAATCAAACAGGAATTGCCAACATGAAGATCTGGCAATATGAAATCTTTTGGGTTCCCCCAGCTGCCTCTCTTCCCCCTTGCCTTACACTTCTTTCTAACATTTTCTCCCATCAGTTTTAGAATGAAGACTTTCTGCGTCAGGCATAAGACTTCTGTCCTCCACAGAAGCAGTGCTCTACTTTAAGCAAAAGTTTGAAGCGAGGCAGAGTTTTTCTCTTTCAGAAAAGTACTTTCCCATGTCCTCTTGTTCTTTCTCTTAGAATAACAAAATCTGAGGGTTGGAGGAGACAAACGTAGAGTGGCAGCAAGTCCATCCATTACTGTGGATAGCCCATGGCTGGCACCCACGCCCAGGGGCCGTCCAGACTGCTTGACCACATACCACAAAGGGGCAGTCACCACTCTCCAGGAGAGCCCAGTCTACCTACAGATAATTCTGACCGGTAGGAGTACTTCCTCATAGGAAGCTCCTCCTAGGACAAAAATGTGTCTTTCCTTGTTGCTTGCAGCTGTTGGTCCTAGTTCTGCCACCTGGAAACAAACCAACAAGTCTAATCTCTTTCCTCTGTGTGCTCCTCCAAGAGATCCATCACATCATGTTTTTCCTCTGATCTTTATTCTTCAGGCTGAGCAACTCTTCTTCCTCTAACTGTTCTCTGTCATATGGGATTTCAAGTACCTCTATTAACCAGGACACTCTTATCTAGAAGATTTACTTACTTAAATGTTTTTAATGTCACCTGCTCTAGAACCTGGCATAATATTTCAGATGTGGAAAAATCAGCACAGAAAGAACAGAACTAATAATGTCTTTCATTATCAGTATAGAACTTCCTGAAAATCATGTTTATCTTTTAGGAAGATTAAACCTGTGCTCAGTCACTCTCATGCTGAAAATTATATAATAATTAGTTTATAATGAAATTTAAATGATGATGAATATTGGCATTTAAATTTTACAAGTGAATTTCAGGCACCAGTAGTTGAAATTAGCATGAAAGGAGGTAGGGGAATTTGTGAGCTCCCATAGTTCTTCAAATGACATGTTTGCTTTACTTCTTATTCATAGTGGTAGTACTACCCATTAAGTGAAAAATAGTAGGCAGAGTAAACCTATATCAGGTGATCATTTGATTCCTTTCTTCCTCTTCATGAAATTCATATACATAACAAACATTTGTGTTCTGCTTATACACACACAGACAGCCTGCAGTAAGCACTCTAATGCACACTCAGCCCTCAAGGAGCTAACATTTTAAAAGCTGTAGGACAAGTCTTTGCTCCCCTCACTGAAGGGGAGCAAATGAATTAAAGAAGAGCAAGAGGTCACCATGTTGGATTGGGTGGCAACAGTAAGTTAGTCTGAATAAACTCTTAACTTTCTTGTCCCAGAAGCACAGCTAGAAGCAGAACCTAACTTGAAGAAGTAGGAGTGAAGCTTGAAGGGTCAGTCAAAGTATCTCCAGCCCCATGTAAAATGGACATCCTACCATTGGGACACACTAAGTCCTGCCTTTATCTGTAGTCATGCATGGGTTCATCAGGGTAATGGATTATCTCAGAAAATAATGCAGAAGTCTTTTCTATTTATGTATTTCCATGTTTCAAATGAGGGTGTGATATATGTGTGTGTGTGTGTGTGTGTGTGTAGATATATGTATATATGTATATATATGCATATATATGTGTGTATATCATATATATATGTATCTACACGTGTGTGTGTATGCACACACACAGAGAAAGACCAGTCTACCTACAGATAATTTTATATAAAGATATTATATATTACAGATAATATATATAAAGATTCTAGATCAGACAAATTTAAGACTTTGAATTATAAAATCTAATATGAAATAAGTGATGATGTATTATAATCTCATCATAAGCATATCTATTAATTTTTTTCTAAAAACATCAGAATATGTGACAAGTTTATCAATTATGGCAACAATAGCTGAACCAGGCCCTGTGAAATTACATATCAGCAAGGCAGTTTGGCATTTCTTTTGTCAGTGTTGTATGTCCCTGACCTACATCCTTCTCTATGAAGGAAGTTAAAAAATTGTGACAAATCAGGACACACCCAGGAACCCAAGTTCCATAGCCATAGAGCTTGTTAGTTCCCTTGTGTTAGTAAAGCTAAAACTGAGATTTCATCAGCTTACTAGCCTCAGAAAGTTTCAGTCTAGTGGGCTTAGGTGTAACCTAACCTCATTTGGTTACCATAAGGGAGGAAATGCAAGACTGTAGATGGCTTGAAGCTACCTGCCACACAACTGAGAAAATGAATTCAAGTTTCTTAGATTGAAGATTATCAACTTTACCTTTAAGGCACAACTCATGGTTGTATTTAGTAACTTAACTAAAAAATTTCAGTCTCAGTATTATTTATTCTTCTTCTGAACAATGCTAATAAACATAGTATTCATAATCTCTCTACTTTATTTTTAAAATATATTCTATCGATTATGCTATTATAGTTGTCCCATTTGCCCTATTTGCTCCCCTCTGCCTTGTACCCCTCTCCCATTCACATTTACCCTGCTTAGTTCATGTCTGTGGGTCAAACATATAAGTTCTTTGGCTTCTACATTTCCTATACTATTCTTAACCTCCCCCTGTCTATTTTGTACCTACCAATTATGCTTCTTGTTCCCTGTACCTTTTCTCCTAGTCTCCCCCTGCCAGTAACCCTCCATGTGATCTCCATTTCCATGATTTTGTTTTGGTTCTAGTTGTTTGATTAGTTTGTTTTTGTCTTTTTAAGTTCATTTGTTGATCATTGTGAGTTTGTTGTCATTTTACTATTCATACTTTTTTATCTTCTTTAGATAAGTCCCTTTAACATTTCATATAATAAGGGCTTGGTGATGATGAACTCCTTGAACTTGACCTTATTTGGGAAGTACTTAATCTGCCCTTTCTTTCTAAATGACAGCTTTACTAGATAGAGTAATCTTGGATGTAGGTCCTTGCCTTTCATAACTTTGAATACTTCTTTCCAGCCCCTTCTGGCCTGTAAAGTTTCTTTCAAGAAATCAGCTGATAGTCCAATAGGAACTCCTTTGTAAGTAACTGTCTCCTTTTCTCTTGCTGCTTTTAAGATTCTCTCCTTACCCTTAATCTTGGCTAATGTAATTATGATGTGCCTTGCTGTGTTCCTCTTTGGGTCCAACTATTTTGGGTCTCTCTGAGCTTCCTGGACTTCCTGGAAGTCTATTTTCTTTTGCCAGATTAGGGAAATTTTCCTTCATTATGATTTTGAATAAGTTTTAAATTTCTTGCTCTTCCTCTTCTTCTTCTGGCACCCCTATGATTCAGATGTTGGAATGTTTAAAGTTGTCCTGTAGGTTCCTAAGCCTCTCCTCATATTTTTGAATTCCTCTTTCTTTTTTTTTGTTCTGGTTGAATGTTTACTTCTTCCTTCTGGTCCAAACTGTTGATCTGAGTCTTGGTTTCCTTCCTGTCACTGTTGGTTCCTTGTGCATTTTCCTTTCTTTCACTTTGCTTAGCCTTCACTTTTTTCTCTATTTTGCGACCATACTCAACCATTGCTGTGAGCATCCTGATTACTAGTGTTTTGAACTGTGTATCTGATAAGTTGGCTATCTCTTTGTTGCTTAGTTTTATTCTTTCTGGAGCTAGATCTGTTCTTTCCTTTAGGCTATTTTTTTTTTGTCTCCCATGCCTGTTACATAGTAAGGGGTAGAGCCTTAGGTATTCATCAGGGTGGAGCAACCCACGATGCTGTGTTGTGGCACTGTACATTGGGGAGGAGCTCTAAAGGGAGCAATGACACTTGCTGAGTTCTTGGCGGCTTTCAGTCACTTCCTCTGTTACCTACAAGCCAATTGGGTTCTTCTGGTGCTGATTCCTGGGTGGGTGGTTTTGTGCACATTCTAGGGCCCTGTGGGCTTCTCCACTGAACTCTTTTGTGAGACTTGGAGTTTCTCGTGCCACCACAACCCCCACAGGTTTTTTTAGTCATATGCTTTGAGGTTTTATTTCCTAGTGCTGGAACCCTGGATTGTGCATTCTGTCTCAGTCCCCAGTTGTTCCTCCTGGTTTATCCACACAGAAATATGGGACTGCCCACTCTGTCGGCCGCCACCTCGCCTGGTCCTCCAGTCACCACCTTGCCTCTCGCCCTCCCCACCCTGGCTGCCTGTTCTCTGCCCCTCCTCTCTGTCTAGATGAATATTTCTTCTTTAACTCCTTGGTTGTTGGACTTTAATACAGTTATATTTTCTGACAGTTTGAGTTGTTTTTTGTTTTTAAGTTTGTTGTTGTCCTTCTTTTGGTTGTGGTAAGAGGTACAGTGTACCTGGGTACACCTTCATCTTCCATAATCACTCTACTTTATAATTAAAACAAAGAACTTCAAATAGGTGTGCTACATTGAATAATTGGGACTACTTTAAGATTAGTTCCTTTTTCTATAAATAAAGGCAGAATTACCTATTTTCTACTTCCCCTTCTTAAATAAAATCTTTTATTTCCCCAATAGGCTGTTTGGTTTTTACAAAGGAATTCTACCACCCATATTGGCTGAAACACCAAAAAGAGCAGTGAAGGTAAGCAATGTACAATGTCTGTCTGGAAGGTATCCAGCCATGTAATATAAAAAATAGAGACATTTATTGAAGAAGATACAAAATATAAGAAACATTGTACATACGACAATGATGCCTCAGTCCCCTTCAAAGTAGGCACCTTGGGACCCCACACAGTTCTCCCAGTCACCATCAGCTGCCCCGTTATATTTTCCTGAATCTTATTGACAGTCTGAAATCTTCCCTTACAAAGGTGACTTTAGTTTTGGGAAAAGCCAAAAGTCACAGCTAAATCCAGGCTATAGGGGGACTGAATCACCTGGGTGATTTGATGTTTCACCAAAATACTTTGCATGAGATGTGATGCATGAGCAGGCATGCTGTCATGATGAAGCTGCCAATCACTACTTGCCCATAGCTGCAGCCTTCTGAAGCATCCAAATAGTTTCTGCAGAGAAATGTACAAGCTTAACACAAAATTTGATGCAAATAATTGTTCTACTTGCAGTCATTTTGAATGTGATGGCTCACTGAACAGCATCTACCACCCCCACTAAGTAGTACAGTGAAGTTGTCATTGTTCACACATGTGCATTCCAGTCCACTCTCCTTGGCTTCCAGGTTACACTGATGTCACACAAAGTGTTCTCATTATATTAACAATGCTGGACTTTTTCTGGACAGACCTCCTATGCTTTCCAACAAGGTGAAAATACTCTACAGGAACAACTTCAGCATTAAGACATCCACACTAACCTATAGGACATTAATGTGAATTAAACATAAGATTTTTATCGCAGAAATTATAGCATAACTTTTATTCTAATTACACTTGATCAATCTCCAATATTGGTTTGTGGATTACTTTTTCAGGTGCAGGCACTCCCTTCTAATAGGGAAATTAAATAAAGAGCATGATGGTGAATGAAATTCATTTAATCAGAACATAGTAGCCACAAAATACCTTGGACTTTTTCTCAAAGCAATTCATAAGTTTTCCCTTGGAGCAATAATTACTGAAGAAAGAGAAAAGGAAAGGGGAGGAGAGGAGGCAGGTGGAAAAACCTTTCTCTCTAAATCATTCTCATTTTATGAACAGAGCAGAGATTAATACACTATATTTCTTTGACATGATTCTTCATATAACTTATTTATTTGACATGCTGACTTCATTCTCCCTACCTTTCCATCTCCTCTGTTAATTTTTTATTCTGGTTTTTACAAAATTACTACTACCATTATCCTGATTTTCATCTCCTTAACAGCATAACTATGGAGTTTAGGTACTACTTACTGGCTCAGTATCTGGGCAGGAACACAAGGATCTAGCAGGACTTCCAAGGAAGAAAGAACTTAAAACTCATCACTTTTTTATGTGTTCTCTCAGAAAAGAGTCCTGATCACAGTGACTTCAGCTGGCCTTGACCCCCACACCCACACCACTGACAGCAGTAAATATGGCTTTGTCTTTCCATGTTAAGGGCAGCATAAACTTAGACTGAAAGACTTCCTTCCCAATTAATGGCAAAGCTTTTTTTCACATACATGGCTTACTTCATATTCCTGATATTCCTAAAAGGTAAGAAGGGTACTTTTACCCAGCAAGTTAAGAGGGTAGCTGGGTTAAAATTTATGATAAAATAACCACTTGTAAACACAAACATGAAACTTTTACATTACGTTAAAGTAATAATATTTTTACAGTGGTAATTTAATAGGACTTAATTCAGGTCTCGATTCAGAAAGCAAAGCTTTAAAACACACTTTTATCAATTCATTCTCTTTTTTTCCATAGTTTTGGTGATTATGCATTATTACTTCAATACAAATTTCATTATAAGGATCTGAATCTCAGTAGAGAATCTGGAAAAAGTTCACCAAAGTACACACAAGGGCTGAATTGAATTATGAAACGGCTCCGCTTGATAAAAGATTGCCCAAGTAAACAAACAGAGCAGAGTTCCTGTTCAAACGGAAAGTCATTTTGTCTCCATAGAATAATATATTCATTTGTTCAGTGTTTTATGTGTATAAATAAAGTAAATTACAATTAAAGTTTTTCCTGGAATATTCTTCCTTAATACTATGCATTGGAGACAATTTAAACTTTAAGAGGATTAAGGTTTATCAATGTTGAACAGTCTTTTACTGGAGAAAAAAAAGAAATGTTGGGCTTTGCAAAGCTGAGTTAGTCTCTAGTTAAAAAAAAAAGCAATGCTTGCTGTCAGAACAATGGTTAACAGATGAACTTTTGGGCAACTGGATATGGGATATGTGTCCCAGACATCTTGTTTCAAGTAGTTTTTACCTTAAAATTATTGAGCCATATGGTAAGTACGTTGGCTTTTTAAGTATAACTTGGAGTTAAAAGTGTATCTTTGCCAGATGGATAGCACTACTTTTTCAACACAATGTATGAAAACATTCAATTTATAGATATTTATCTTAGGATTTGTGAGGAAAGCGATCATCTGATAGTAACAATTTCATACATCATAAATGGCTTCATTGTATGTCATCAAAGTTTACTTCAGAAAAAAATATTCAGAAACTATATATGGGTGTGCATATACATGTGTACACACTTCAGATACATGTGCTCTATGAAGTCTTTATACATACGTGGATATAGATTGTCCTTGGAACTGACACTTCAGTACAAACACTAGTATAATCAGAAACAGATAATGTCAAGTTTTTCCTGTTCTTGATTTTTTGGAATAAAATTCATCATGAAAATAATAAGACTCATTGATGCTGAATAAATGAAACTTCTTCTTTTACAAATCAAGACACTTAGCAGAAGGAAATGAAGACCTCAGAAAGAGACCAACTGGTTCCTCAGAAGTGGGAGGCACCAGGTCCCAGGGTCCAGGGTCCAACCTTGAGCACCACAGTTTCAGAAACACCATTTTTCCATGATCAGACTCTCAAGGACTGTCTATTGCTAAACAAACTGGCGAGAGATTATAAATTGTGAAGGCTATTTGTTCACCACTATCACTATGCCTGTCATAGGGTCTGTATATTGTAGATGTTCAGCTGATATTATTGGAATAAATGGAATATATATAGAGAGAGAAGCAGAAAGAAAATTTATTGGTTTCTAACAGGAGACATTTCTGTCCTGTTCTCAGAAATTCCCACATCTACTATTCAGAATTTCTGGAAGGCCCAGACTTCCATTTCCAGCCAAGATGGAGTAACAAGGACCAGATTTACTCTCTTGCCTGAAATAGCAACAATAAAAAATGAACAAAATATGAAACCACAATTTTCAAGGCACAGGACATTGGACAAGAAAGGATAGACAGATGGGAAAAAAAGGAGATGAGCTGTATGGACTGCCCCATCTTACTGCCTTGAAAGGGTTGCCCGGCCCAGGGGCAGGCAAGGGAAATACAGGCAATCCTTCTCTGGATTGAGAAGGAGCTGGAGGGCAAGGCAGCTTGAGTTCAGTGGACAAAGTACCAGAGAAGAGAGAGCTGCACAGAGCAAGAACTCCTATGATCTGCAGAGAGACCCCTAAGTATTCAGCTGAGAACTGACCAGTGCATGCATGTAAGGAAACTAGCAGGGCCTGAGAAAGAGCCGCCCAAGGAGTTAGAGAGAACAGGGCTCTAGCTACACAGGGTTGAGAATAGAAGTTCCCATCAGACTATTAGCCGATTTCTCAAAAGAAACCTTACAGGCAAGAAAGGCCTGGAAAGAAGTATTCCAAGTCATGAAAAGGACCTCCATCCAAGATTACTCTATCCAGCAAAGCTTTTATTTAGAATGGAAGGGCAGATAAAGTGCTTCTCAGAAAAGGTCTTAAAGGAATTCATTATCACCAAGCCCTTATTATATGAAATGGTAAAGGGACTAATCTAAGAAAAATAAGATGATCAAAAATATGAACAATAAAGTGATCAGTAGAATAGAAACTTAAAAAAAAAACTAAACTAAAAACAAACAAACAAAACTGCTCTGGCTATTGTGGCTGAGTGGTTGAGTGCCAGCCTGAAGATCAAAGGGTCACAGGTTCAATTCCCAGTCTGGGACACATGCCTGGGTTGCAGGCCAGATACCCAGTGGGGAGCATGTGAGAGGTAACCACACATTGATGTTTCTCCCCTTCCCTTCCCCTCTCTAAAAAATGAATAAATAAAATCTTTAAAAAACAAACAAAGCAAACAACTAGAACAGGAACAGAATCACAGAAATGGAGATCACATGGAGGGCTATCAGTGGGGAGAGGGAAGGGGGAGAATGGGGGAAAAGGTGCGAGGAACAAGATTCATAAATGGTAAGAATAGTATAGGAAATGGAGAAGCCAAAGAACTTATTTATATGACCCCTGAACATGAACTAAAGGGGCGGGGAATGCTGGTGGGAGGGGGTTGCAGGGCAGAGGGGAATAAAGGGGAGAAAAAGAATGGGATAACTGTAATAGCACAATCAATAAAATACATTTGGGAAGGAAGGAAGTCCAGTGGGTGGGAGGGAGGGAGGGAGGGGACCTGTTCCAACCAGCCAAACTAGAAGGCTTCAAAAGGCACAGGGCACTGTGAGGAGAACTCAGAAGGGTTTGCCTCAGCAGTAATGCAATGACGGAAAGTCGGAGAGGAAAAAAAATCACGTCTTCCCACTGGACGGCAGCAGGGTAGGGAGGCGTTCTTAACCCAGTGAGGGCCACTTAGAGCAGGGTTTCTAAAGTGTGTGTCGTGAAATCAGTTTGGTGAGTCACTAGATGTAGTGGGTCATGACAAGAAATGTTTCTAATGAAGTAGAACAGGAAAAGAATTACACACAGTAAAGGGGTAAATATTGCTTTATAGCCACGTTTTGTTTCAGTTGTAAATACAAGAGCACCCTGTGTACATGTATGTGCATACACGTGCCTGTATTGGCCAAGTATTTTTTATGTAGATTGTGGTCAGAAAGGTTTGAAATCTGCCTTGAAGGACACAGGGCTTCCAGGGCCAGGGAAGGCAAGAAGCCCTGAGCAGCAAGAGAACTCCAAGGCAGAGAATCTCTACCTAAACCACTAATGGTCACGGCTCAGCCATGATTAAGCATAGTAAGTGCTGTGGTTAAGAGCACACGCAGGCTGTGGCGTTAGACTTCAGGGGAATCTGAACCCTTCCATTCACTAGCTACAGGACATATACCTATAAAATGGGAATCGTGGCTGTGTTATAACTGTGACCTGATGATGTTTTATGGATCAAATGCAGGAGCACATGCTAAGGTCTTAGCAGGTTTCTTGGACGATAGCAAGCTCTCCTGAGTGATACAAATAACCAAGGCATTTATGGTTCCTTTCATAGCCAAAGTGAAGTCAGTGAATGGAAACTAAAATATTCTGAAAGTCTCCTATGTGCCAAACATGTCAGGAAATCTTACTCAAATGCTGTTATTTAAGGACTTCTCTAAAACATAAGTTTCGTGTTCTTGAGGGTTAGAAAGGCCAGGCAACTCACTCATGCTTTCACAACTAAGTAGTATAGCCAGGAGTCAGACCCAAGACTGCCTCTGTCAAAATACCGGCAAGGTCATTGTCAAAAACAGTAATGATGATGAGCATTAAAAAAAGGAAAAGATAAATTTTCTTCAAAGCTTAAAACTACAATGCATTTCCTTCCATAGTTAACGGTTGCTAGTGCATCTCTCCTCAAAACAGTGGTGGCCCCTGGTGGTTCTGTTGTAACCCCAGGATACAGTTTGGGGGTCATCACCACCCCCTGGAATGTTATATCAAGAAGGTGGGGGTTCTCTTTGTTTACTACTGCATTCCCTGTGCCTCTCAGAACATAGGGAGCATTCAATAAAATATTCGTTAAATGAATAAATCAATGAATCTCATTTCTAGAAAAGTCTACAACCATAGTTAAGCTAAAGAAGATGGCACAAAGTAGTTCGTGGGTCTTCAGAAGAACGAAAGCCTATCTGGTGATGTAATGATTCTTGGGATACCCACAGACTCATTTGAGGGATGTCTACACCACAGAACTGCCTCTTTCTAACAGCAGAGTATTATTTGGCCCCCAAATGTACATTTTTTTTCTTGTTACATTTTACTGGGTTAAAAAGTAATAGAGTAGAAGACACGTGTGATCACAAAATACCAGGCCATTTCTCTGGTCTTGAGAAGCAGGCTGGCAGGACCCAAGAGAGTGTCTCATCGGAGCTGCTTGTGGCTTCCTGACAGAGTATCCAGGAGCAAAACACTGTTCAAGCAGCATTGTTGCCCAAAGTGTTGGAGAGAAACTGCATTTTGGGTATGTTATACAAAGCGATTGATTAGATCTCCCTTCCTAGAAACCCGTTTTCAGGAAAATTATATTAAACGTCATCTACTGAAGTAACCAACAAAATCTTCATCATCACCGTATTTTAAAGGAAGGAATAATCAGCTCTCCTGTGCTCAGGTTGGGGACAGTGTGGCTTTAAGCAGGGATGGACTAGATGACCTCACTGGGTCCTTTCCTCGTTTGTGGTGATATCTTCATCATTGCTGAGTGTTTGGAAATTTCATGGAACTCTAGAGACACAGCGATAGAAATGAAAGTTAAGGCTGAGAAACGGATGTCTTTTACAAGTCAGATAACTGGGCATTCACTGGGAAAGCAGTTCATAGAGAAAACAGAGGAGACCAAAGATTTCAGGTCTCTGCCTATAATGTTGAATCACTGCCATAAAAAAAGAAGTCTATTGATGTCTGGGGAAACTGGAAATGGTCATGGTAAATGGAAGCTGTATGGTTCATTTACTGCTATAAAGGATTCCATCAGCTCTTCTGTAGGTCATTATAGCTGCATTTGAAAATGTGAATGTTAAAGTGAGAACCAATAGCAACTACCCGAGACGAGATTGAGAACTGTGTTCAATGGTTTGTCATTTTTTAAATGCTGGCTAATATAATGATTTACTAAAGAAATTTGAGTCAATTAAAGGGTTTGTTGCAGGAAATTGTTATAAATCTCTGGGTTTGGTTTTGTTTCACAGTTTTTCACCTTTGAGCAGTATAAGAAATTGCTAGGATCTGTGTCACTGTCACCAGCATTGGTAAGTGAGAATATTTATTATACTTAAGTGTGTGTGTTATTTCATAAAGCAAAATCTGGAGACAAAAAGCCTTTTGATTCCCCAAGCCCAACTACTAAAATATGAATTCAAGCTATTCAATGTTCAGCTACTTGTTGAAAGCCATCTTCGTAATAACTCACAATCTGGCTATTTTATAGCACCCAGTGATGAATTTATGATAATAATGATATGTGTAGAAAGGCTCAGATGAGATATGGTCAAGAATGTAAAATAAAGGGTACATTTGTCAAAGACTTTTTGAAAGCCAAAACATGCATGTTTACATGCTGCACCTATCTGTGCAGAAGTCAGCATGCCTAAGATGATTTCCTAGCAGGTCACTTTTCCAGCTCTTACTTAAGCTGCAGTAAATAATAAATTATAGGACTGCAGGGCACTCTGTGGTCAGAGACAGACTGAAGAACAAGCCTTTTATAGTCAGGGAGAATAAATGATCAGACAATGACACGTGTCCACTATTACATGAAAATCGGTTGTTGATTTGAATATTTTCCAATGCCCCTTCTTTCCTTCTGAGTGACTTTGCCGCTTCTCACAAAATGAGTTAAATTATATTGACCAATTGGGTTCTACGAATACGTGCTTGCAACAGGAGCTCCAGAGAGAGCAAATGCACTGATTTTTCCCTTCGAATCTTTAAAACAAAACAAAGTAAAATCTCACTGGCTCTCCAACTGAAAAATGCTTCTGTTTTCCTGGTGAAGTGTACCTCAAAACTTAACCAAAAAGGTAGTGCTCTGAGCTTCAATTCTTTAATTACTTTACTTGTAAAGGTTCATTTCAGAACATTTACTTTGCCAAGAAGACTGTCCAAGAAGTATCTGTTATTTAAAAAGTCATGCATGTCCCTTTTACAGGAAGGATCCTATTAAGAAAACTAATAGCCTGGCTTAATGTTATGACAAAGAAACCTCTTGTCCAGCCTCCTACCTAAAAAGGTGCCTCTGAGGTGTGGCCTCGCATAAAAGATGTGGCAGCGTGAGCCCTCAGTTATTTTTGAATTCCTCGGTGTCTCCCTGTACTGTCATTCTTAACTTTGGAAATATCTTGTTAAAAAGAGAATTAAAAGCCTTTCTAGCAAAAGACAATAAAATGCAGCCTCCAGAGGGCCAGCTGGCTGTTCCTGTGCAGAGCCTTGGTACCATGTGAGAAATGCAGTTCTTTTGGCTCTCTTGGGAATTGAAACAGAAAAGCATTTGGCCACTCCAGCCACCGTAACTGAATGCATGCAAACTGTATACAATTTTCTCCTTCTCTTGAACTCATTTATTCCAGGGGGGGTTTTTTTGTTCTTTTTTTGATACAGCTAGACACTTAAACAGCCATTAAATGTCCCCTGGTGCTCTCACATGAAAAGCCTAGGAGGCTGGGAACCCGACAGTTACTGCTGGTCTCTGGAATAGTCTAAGTAATATGATCTGCTGATAGCTGATCAATTCTTTTGACAAGGGACTGCTGAATGCTATTTCTGACAGCAAATGTAGCTGAGTTTATAGAACAGAAAAGTGAATTACTTGGAAGATTGTATGTAGTAATAAAAACCTGAACATCTGGATTTTAGCTCTTTCAGTCAGAAAAGTTGGGGACTAGTATTTTTTTTTTATTTTTGCTTTCGGCTTCCATGATGAAAGTCTGAGATACATGAATAAAATATTTGGTCTGTTACCCTATACAAAGATGTTTAAAATTGTAATGAAGGGGCATGAAAAGAAAGCGTCACTAGTCACTCCCTCTCTCCTGGAATCTGTGTCCAAGGCTGTTCTTCCTGTCCATCCGTATGTGCAACAGGAAGAATTGTTTCTGTGTAGCACTTTACAACAGGCTTTCACACTTGATTTTGACCCTCATGTAGCCTTTTGAGGCCAGGAGGTTAGATACTATTGTTTCCATTTTACAGACGAGAAAACTGTGGCTTATAAAAGATTTAGTGACTTAAGACACCGAGCTGCAGCAGGCTGGACTTCAGGCTCCACACACACCACTGTGCACAAACTGATGTACACGGCAGCTCTGGTCTAAATCAGCCGGTACATCATGGCAGAACCAAGGACCTCCTGGCTCTGGACTTTCCTCTGCTGCTACGGCCATGGAACACCCTTTCTCCCTTTCTCTTTTAGTCTCCTACTTTGAAGAAATTAAAGACTACCTAGTAAGAGTTATCTGTGCTTTTTTCCTCTTAGTTGTACATAGTACTACCTCTTCTTCTAGAATTAAAGATTCAGCACTAAAGAATTCTTTTTTTTTTCACATCTGTTTTGCAGGTTTAAGACTTTGTTTAATTTTGTTTTCTTTCTCTATTTCTGTCTGTCTGTCTGTTTGTCTCTCTCTCTCTCTCTCTCTCTCTCTCTCTCTCTGGTGTGTTTTATCATTGTGGTTATTTTGATAAGGATTTTCCGAAAAACCTTTAAGTGTTCTACTTAGGGAAAAATTCTAGAAAGTTGTTCTTTCCTATTGCAGAAATTCTTAACAGAGAGCAAATAATGTTCTAGATTTTAGCTGAGGCCTTCAGCACAATCTAGTCATTTCTGACCTCATTCCTTGGCTTCTGGGTCTAGAACAATAGGACAATTATCAGGTTTTTTTTTAATAGGGAAGGGATGAATAAAAAATAATTTTTTGTTTGATAATAGTCTAAAATAGTGAATCTAAGAATATGGCTATAAGTTTAAATGTGTTCGGCTATACCATTTGGTTACCTGAAATATTGCTGTTTATGAACACTATTTGTGGTTCTGTTCCTCAAATTCTTTAATCTGCTCAGTGAATGTATTTAAGTAGATGTTTTAAAACGAAGCTCTCCTTTTACAAGTCACTCTCTTTTAATTGTTACACATGCGGACGTTTTAGTATTCACCTTAAATCAGTAAAACAACCTTTCTCTTCATGAGTGGAAAAAGTCATTGTTGATGGGGCTTTGACATTTTATTTTGAATTGTTGGGATGTGGTTTGTGGCTTCTGTAATTTCTTCTTCATGAATTGTCAGCATCTAATCAAGAACTAAGGCTGTTTAGTAATGGTATATGGTGCATTTATGTAAGTTTCTCCATTCTCATCATAACATTCAGCTACATAGTGTTATGAGTAGGATGCTTTACCCAGTGCACATGATAACTTGCTTTAAAGTATTGACTGATTTAATTTTTCTAGACATTTGCCATTGCTGGACTGGGATCTGGACTAACAGAAGCCATCGTGGTTAACCCTTTTGAGGTAGTAAAAGTTGGCTTGCAAGCCAATCGGAACAAATTTGTAGAGGTAATGATTTAAGGTTTTCCTATTGTTCAGTGACTATAAAACAAACATTTGAAGTGTATATAAAAATATGAACCCAGCTCTTATTCACTTGCTAAAGTCATAGAAAATTATTGGTAAGGAAGCAGCATAGGAAAAGTCAAATTTCTCCCAAAAGGAAAATGCTAACAAAAACACATTCAGGTCTGAGGGACAAACACATGTTTACACACTTTTATTTTATAGTGTAATGCATAATGGCTTATTTGGAAATGTTTTCCCTACATTTGGCAACACTTCTATTTTACATTATGCTAGAATAGACTACAGCAAAACCACTGGGGTTAGAATATTATTGTGTTTCTTTAAGAAATTATGGTGGAATATTACACAGCAGAAAGAAAGAAGGAGCTCCTACCCTTCATGACAACATGGATGGATCTGGAGAGCATTATGCTAAGTGAAATAAGCCAGGCAATGAAAGACAAATACCATATGATCTCACCTATAAGTAAAACCTAGTCAACAAAAACAAAGCAAGCAAAATATAACCAGAAACATTGAATTAAAGAACAAACTGACAGCAACCAGAGGGAAGGTAGGAGGGGATAATAGGGTGAAAGGGGGGAAGGGTCATCAAGGAACATGTATTAAGGACACATGGACAAAGCCAAAGGAGGGTAGGGCCGAGGGTGGGAGGTGGGGATGGGTGGGGTGGGGGGAACTCTGGGGGTGGGGTGGGGAATGAAGACAATTGTGCTTCAACAATGAAAAAAAAGAGAACAAAATTATGAAATCATTAAAAAAATTACCTCAATCCTTTTCCTACTCCACCCATGGCCCTCCCCCAGAGATTCTGATAATCTGTCAAGCTTGTCTTTGGGTTAAATCTGAATGAGCATGTTACTAAACCTGTAGAGATATCACCACTTGGACAATGATTGGTCTTGACATTTAATCACTGGTACATGATGTTTTGTGAAGACAGCTTCTCTTGGTGTGTGCTGACTTTGCTTCCTTCCAGTTGTCTAATAATTCCTGTTAAACCACCAGGTCCAACTGTTCTTGCTTTATTCTTCTGGGAGCCAAGCATAAGGTAGAGAAAAAATAAGGAGACTTGTATTCCAGATCCTTTCTTAGCATTTTAATTTAATTCCACAACTGGGTAGCATGTGGTATAAATTGGAGTATCTGCTGACCTGAATTTCTCTGTGGAGAAGTTCCCTTGCCTACTACTTAAGCAGCTGCTAGTGGGTGGAGAGCCCCCTCACTCCCACCCGACTTCCTGCCTGAGAGCTCTCTGGCAGCTTCTTGAGCAGAGGTGTGGGAAAGGAGAGGTGGGGGGGGGGGGGGGGGAGGCACTCACCTGTAGCAGCCCAGGCCCAAGGCAGACAGGGTTAGTCCGCTACAGCAGATGGTATCTACTCAGTTGAAGTCAATCCTAATTAAAGGAGATTTTCTTTTTCCTTTTAAGTTTCAAATGATTGTCTTAATTGCAGTGATATATAGCATTTCAGAAAAGATTGAAAATCTTTATATTACCCTAGTCTTTGTTTCTGTATTGCTTTCTTTCTATTCTTTCCTGATTGATGGGGAGGAGGACGATGAGGAATAGGAGGAAATGAAAGAAACGCCTTTCAAATGCCCTATCATGATGGAGCATTTAAAACAGCCCCCATGGAATCTGCTCACGGAAAATTTGACTTGTTAGACAGGGAGAATTATGAGCTAGAAGAAAACTTTGGAGCTCCTCATCCAATTCCTCATTTTACCTGTTGGGAAGCTTGTCTTAGAGAAACAATGAGTAAGCAAAGGAATAAACTGGCCTCCAACTGCATCCTTTATCCAGGCAACGTGTAACCAGAGGGACCGGGTGGGACAAGCACCAAGGAGCGCTCTCGGGAATGAAAACAATGAGTTATCACAGCACTTCTGCTCATGCCTACTGTTCTTTTCTTTTTCCTCTGCCCTCAGCGAGGTTCTACACTGAAGCCAAGTAAGAGCTGTGAATGTTTTGCATGTGTTAAGGCCTTGCTGGAACACGGGAAACACCCTCCTGGCCCAACACTAGCATGCTGCATGTACATGTGTTCCCAGCTCATTTGCACACGTGCAGTCTGTGTAAACTGTTTATGTATGTGCTGCCATTTTTTAAGGGGAGAAGAAAGGGGCATTTGTTTGGGATCATTTCTTCTGCATAATCCACTGAACTGGATTCATTGTCAGATATTTACTAAACAAAGTAAAATCTATGAGGGACATTGTAAAAATATCTGCAGTATTACTCCAACCTAGCAAAGCAGGGATCATGCTGGTCACACATTCAGCAACTATCAGGATTCAGTAGCTGGCCTGAGGTGCTACTTTACAGGCAACACGGACCAGATTGAAAGTAGTTGCTAGTACATAGTCACCCAACCTGAAGGAATGGGACTATAACTATTGCAGAAAATTATGTGAAAGAGATGATGGCATAAGAATAGCAAATTTCGATCTGGTCACTTTAAAATAAATACCCGCCACTTTTGGCAATGAAACTCTTTCTCATGTCTTTTGTCTAGGACCCATTAACTCCAGAGCCTTTCTCCAATGACTAGCATTTTCTTTTATCCAACAAGGGGATGCCCTTTTGTTCATCTGAATCTGGATTGAATTCATCCGAACATTAGGTGTGCTCACCTCAGCATTTGTATGGCCCGGAATAATTATTGCTTTCTTCACTCTGGGGCTTTGTAGGTTATCAAGAAGTGTTCAGGGGGTGGGGGTGGAAGAGAGGAAGAGGAAGAGAAAAAGAAAGAGGGGAAGAAAGAAATTAATTTAATGCCCAATGCATTTAAAAATTACACTTTTTTGTTAGGGCACATGCCTGGGTTGCAGGCCAGTTCCCAGCAGGGGACACACGAGAGGCAACCATACATTGATATTTCTCTCCCTATTTCCTTCCCTTCCCCTCTAAAGATAAATAAATAAAATCTTTTTTAAAAATTACACTTTTTTTAAGAAAAAAGGTTGAGTCCAAGTATAAAGGGAATGCATATTTATGTTAGAGAACACCGAAATAACTATGTATTTCTGTGTATACATGTAAGTGTATAAATGTGTTAAAATGAGCTAGAGCAACACTGCCCAATAGAAATGGCCACATTTTATAGTAGCTATATTAAAATAGGTAAAAAGAAACAGATGAAATTAATTTAGTACTCTATTTTATTTAACCCAGTATACCCAAAATATTATCATTTCAACATGCGATCACTCTAAAATTTATATGAGATAATTTACACTCTATTTTCATACTTAGTCTTTAAATCTCATGTGTATGTTCTGCTTATAAGCACACTTGAATTTGAACTATGACATTTCAAGTTCTGAATAGCCAGATGTGAGTAGTGCTGTTCTGATAAGAAAATGCAGGTCTAGAGAAATTTATACACACTTCTCACTGGATACCTCTGAAGAGGAGATTAAAGTGGGAGACAGAAAAGCAAGGATTTAAGGGAATATCTTTGTGTAGTTGAACGTTTAACGTGAGAATGGATTCAGTGTTTTGTGAACTTTTACTCTAAAAAGTAACAGTTGTTCATCCTAGAAGATTTAGAAAACACAGACTAGTGCAAAGAAAAGTGAGTGACCCAGAAGAAATGTTCCATCAGCTCTGCCGCGATCAAGTCTGCCTTGGAGGGGAAGCTTCCCAGCTGGTCCGGGCGGGAATGACTTGCTGGCCCATCTTGGGATTCAACCAAGTTCCTCTTTTGTTGGGGAAGAATAATAGTAACAGCCACATCATATGCTGTCATGAGGGTTAAAAGAGTCATGTATGTAAAGCTGTCGATACAGCCTGGCGTATAGTAACAGTTTAATAAGTATTAGTGGTTATTATTACAACATGCTTTTTTGTGAATGTAAATAACACTCTATGCAACAGTCTTAACACAGCGCCTGGTACATGGTAGACGCCTCACCAAAGACAACTATTTCTAGATGTAGGTTGATCTTATAAATCCTTAAGTTTAAGTAGAAAGAAATTTATCTTGAGGTACTGCCCTGGTTAACAGTGGGCAGCCCCAGCTGACTCCAATGTAGGCATGAAAATAGCTTACTGAGCTGGTCAGTCTGTTCTTTAGGTCATTCTCAACTGCCAGCGTGATCCCTGGAGCCGGAATTCTTTGTCGAGACCTGAGGGCTGGCAGCCTAGTTACTGTGCCTGTTGACGAAGTCTTTAAACTCAGATACAAGTTCACTATCATATACAGCAGCAGAAGTGAGAGAGGAAACCAAATGTGTCTGAAGCCACTTTGTAATGCATTCTACCACAGTGAAGATATTCTCCTCCTGGAATAGTTGTATAAGATCAACATGGGTTCTTGATCAGCCTTCATAGTCACTTTACATGGAGCTGTGAACCAAGGTCACTCTCAGCCTTTTCAGTCAATTGCAGCTACCAGCTGTGGTGGAACACTAAATACGTGGGCAGATGCAGGATGATGGCTTGACAACACCTTTAGGAAAAGCAGAGCAGTTTCCCCAGAGGTTTATTTTGCATGTAAATAACTCCTGTTCTGCCAATACTGTGAGTTTCTTAGGTAGCATGTCCCCCCTCCTAGGTATAAACAACCTGGGTGCTACACAGTAACTGTGGATTTTCCTATTTTGTCAGCATGAGGAGGTGAGTCACAAATTGGTCCTCCGAACATGGAATTTCCTAAGAAGTTGCTACAGCTGACAGGGGCTCTTCAGTGGAAGACAGGCTAACTCAAGAGTTGTCAATGTTACACTTCCGTCTTAGAGGGGATGGCAGAGTGGTGAAGTGGGAGCAGAAGGACTGCCAGGCCCAGCGTGCCTAGAAGGAGGCTGTGGGGTGTAGGCAGATGGTCCTTTAGCCCCGTGGGGAGAGTATTGCTGGCAGAGAGCCAGAATGGGGCCCTGTGAAGCATGAGATCCAGGACAGGGATCTTTCTAGCAGGGGCTCAAAGGCATTACTAGCTGAGAACAGAGGCTGCATCTGTTAGGTTCTCAGAGCCCCA